CGCGCCGCCATATTCGCGCCGAGCGACGTTATTTCGTCTCCCCACTTACGTAGGTCCAAAGGTTCGCCCACGCCTCCGCTGAAACAACCACTGTTCTGCAAACTACCCTGTACTGTTCGCTTGACTCACGTACAGAGGTTAGCAAACTAGTTGTGGGAAGAATTGTACACTCGTCTGGTTCGTTTTACAAGATTTCATTGACAATATCTTTAATGCAAAATTGGTATTTCCTCTCCACTCTGCCGATAAAACGTCTATATTAGAGTAAAGATTTACAAAACATGTCGGAACGCAGCATAACCTATTTATTTCAAGCGACATCACTACAAAGCGGGTATAGCGCCATCTACGGTCACAAATTGTGATTCATTTTGGTTTATAAATTATTATTGCGATATACAGATGGCAATCGTTTCTATAATGTACGTCGATGGTTGCTCAATTAAAACTGACTTCTTCTTACTCACTCATTTGTGTCTTTTTTTGTGGTGAGCTACAGTGTCATTGACACTTTCATTATAAATAACATGTTGGTGGCGTTACAATGTGTATGGTTGGCGGAAATATAGTGTGTGTTTGTAAACCGACATGGTTGGACTAAATTGACAAACCGTACACCATAAACGACTACTCCATGCCCATGGTTATTACTTTTGGTTGTTTGGTGCGTTACGATTGCAATAATTACAGCTATGCTAGAGAGAGGCATTGAAAGGAAATATCCATGGAACATCTGTCATGTTTATGCGTTAATCTTTGCCGTGTGCCGTTGCAGGAGCTGATTGCTGGAATCAACAAGAACTTTGAAAAGTTTTTCAGTACTCTCCACTGTGCCGGGCAGGTGGACCTGAACAGGGGTGAAAATGAGGTCAGTGGTATGCCCGTCCTTGCTGTCTCTTCCTTGGAAATCCATTAGTCCTATTCAATTATTCCAGTGCTAAAAGCCCCCCTCCCCTTTTTACTAGTTCCCTTAATATTTGATTAAGACGTGTAAAGTATGTAAGTACCATTTGGTTTTACTATTCGGTCTTCCTGATGTCATACATGTCTCTTCTGAAAGGGGTCCTTTTGTCAGCTAGCCTATAATATTACATCCAGGTGTGCTGCCTAGATGTGTGTTACTGAATCACCGGGATTTTATACGGCAGAGTTCAGTTTGCTGGTTCTGGTACGCCAGTCGTAATTCTGAGAAACAAAAGAGCAACCTATTGTGTGCATGCTCGTACCAAACAACATGTCATCTGTTTCTGTTTTGATAGCAAAGCCAACCCCCTAAACGCTACAGTGTAAACGTCCCCACCAGCAGTGTTTGCCACTGATCAGAAAAAGCTGTAGGCCTGCAGGGCCTATAGCTTCTAAAAGCTGCAGGCCCGCCAGCAAAGCTGTAGGCCCGCCAATGTTGGAGCAAATTACAGTAATAAAACAGCATATCATGTTCTTCCTTATGTTTATTAGTCATTATCAATGTCCATAATCATAATCCCTCTGTTTTTCCTTCCTCTCGTCGGATGACTGTTTATGCTTCGTTGCCGGGGGCTCACAATTAAGAAAACGCCACATCGTTGTTATATGTAGCTCCTTGGTAACTACGACTTTCCACTTTGACAGCAGAGAGACAAACTGGTAGTCTGGTACACATCGGGGACTTCTATGGGAGTCTGGGGGCCAGAATATTTTTGAAAATTATAAACTCTGAGATCCAATCTAGAGCCATTTCAGGGTACTCCAATAGCTTACAACTAGCAACACTTTTTGGTGGAAAAAAAATTATGTAAAATTTACCTACTGTAAAATTTTGATGGGCACTGGGGAATTCCGTCTGTGTTGAGTGTCTCCAAAGTAAATGTATTTTGTAGACATACAAGCTCTTACGTAGGGAAGCTTTTATTTAGTTACACCCTGTATAAATGTATATAGTTTTTCCAAACGTTAAAAACAATATGACACGGTTAAACCTGAGTGGTGCGACGAGGCTGTACTGCTGTTTGCATGACTATAGTAAGTAATACGACGTGCTTTGCAGCTACAGTGACTTAATTATGACGTGTGTTAAAACTTGAGACAATTATTATTATTTACTGTATAATTCAACATGATATATTATCTAAATCTTCTTAATATTGACCAGTGATACTTTATTGTTTACATCCAAACGTGAAATGCGCGGGGATGTGAGAATTACTCCACAACCTAGTGAACAGTGAACGTGCTGCACGACCCGTGCACGTAACTATACCCTGGCCAACACAATGTAGGGTTCACTACCACTGGCCAAAAGCAAGCTCCACCCACTTATCGATTTTTGGTATGCCAACGCTGCTACTGGATGCAGGAACCTGTGCTAACCTGTGCGTCCGAACATCCCAGGCACGTTTCTTGAATGCCAACTAAAGTTGATTGCAGTGGGCGAACGCATTGTATACATGTATGTCACGGTTTATCACGGATTAGTTTTCAAATAAATACCCCTGGAAGTTAATATGCATGAACAGATTTCTACAGGTAACAGTTTCTCAGTGTTTCGAATTTTCGGTGATCAAATAGCTGTAGGATCAGCGGGCCTGTTGTATCAAGAAGCTGTAGGCCCGGCATCGAAACTGTCGGCGACGGGCCGACGGGCCGACGTGAATTTCGAACACTGCCCACCAGTGATGAGAGTATTGTAGGGCTGAGCACATTGATTGATGACCTTTGCACTATGGTGACCACTTGCTGACGTCTGTTCTACATTGACGTTGCTGACCTCTGCTTTATGTTGACTTCTTGCTGACCTCTGCTTTACGTTGCCGGCTTGCCAACTTCTGCTATGTTAACCTCTTATTGACGCTCAAGGGGTCGTTGTCGTAACAGGTACTACAGATATGTACCCGAGGTACATATATGTATACACAAAGTGTACCAGACTTGTACTACAGAAGTGTACCCTAAACCTAACACTATCCCTAACCCTAACCCTAACCCTAACCCTAACCCTAACCTTAACCCTAAACATACCTCATATAAAAATATAAACATAATATTAAACAACCTAAAACTACCTCGGGTACATATCTGTAGTACCTGTTACGACAACGACCCTTCGTGCCTTACTGACCTCTGCTCTATGTTTTCCTCTTGCTGACTTCTGCTATATATGTTGACCTCTTACTGACCTCTGCTCTACATTGCCCTCTTGCTGACCTCTGCTTTACGTTAACCTCTTGCTGACCTACTCTATGTTGACCTCTTGCTGACTTCTGCTATATATATTGCCGTCTTAATGACCTCTGCTCTACGTTGACCTCTTGCTGACCTCTGCTTTACATTGACCTCTTGCTGACCTCTGCTTTACGTTGACCTCTTGCTGACTGCTATATATATTGACCTCTTACTGACCTCGGCTCTATGTTGACCTCTTGCTGACCTCCAGGGCGTCAAGTTCCTATTTTTTCCTATTTCTTCCTATTTTCTGGGCAATTCCTATTTTCTCCTATTTTCTGGACAAATTCCTATTTTTTCCTATTTTTGAGGGCTTTTTATTTTTCTGAATCCAGAATTGTATGTATCCTTCTCAGAATGCAGGAATTTACATTTCAGGTGACCCAATTTTCAAAAAAATTTGGGGGGAGGACCCCCACCCCTTACTTTAAATTAATGTAATATACTCTTTACTATCACATATTTTATTTCAGTAAAGTTGTTTCTCAGTTGGATGTGGTATGTGTATCCAGAGGGGGGGTCCAGGGGGTCCGGACCCCTTTTTTACCCCAAAAAAGAGAAAACACATAAAAGATAATTTTCTGCTTAAAATTTTGGAATTCCATTTTGCATTATAGACATCAAAATTACTGCTCAGATGCTCTCAGAATGCACCAATTTTTAACATTTTTCTTGT